GTAGGACACAAAACTAATGAGGAACCAATTAATTAATCCCAGACATGAGAATAGTGAACTAATAAATAGGGAATTATGATGTTGGTTACTTTACTGAATACTGAGAAGACTGAGCTGGAGTCTTCTGTAAGTCTAGTAGTGTTGGTGTTTCAGAAGTTTTTGGAATATTGCTTCTTCCAAGATTCGCACGGCATGTTAACTTGCCATTAAACTGGTGCGAGGTGTTATGTATTATTTCCATACACATAGGTTTAAGTTTGTTGCTATTTTTCTTTTTACTTTTTTTTTTTCTTTTTTTTTTCTGGGTGGGTACTATCATTATGTTTAAGGTTCTAATTCCAGTCAATGAGCTATCATTCTCATGAACTCGTTTGTCCAATTGGGAGGTACATTTTTCTTCTGTTTTGTATCGCATCAACAATTCCATTCGCTGTTTGCTGCCTTGCCTTATCCAGTTAGACCACGATCCCCCACTTGGTATGGTCTTGAGTAATTCATTATGTTTGTTTACCTTAACTGCGTACTTACCAAAGTGCAATAGTTCTTCCATGCGAAGTATTTTCAAGGTCATGAACCAGCAGCATGTCAGATATGCTTTCGGAGGTGTATTCAGCGTTACCCATCTTCATTAGTTTACAGGTGTCTGTGATTTAATCTTATTTCGGTTTGACTGAAGAATTGGGACATGAACCATATATGATGGCAACAGATATCCATAAAGGTCCTTATATGATAAGGTCATTCGCTCATATTGAGTAAGGGAACATAAAATGCTGGGGCTGTGGATTTCCCTACACTGATTTGGAGATATGTTTGAGTGTTTAATTTCCTGTGATATTTTCTCTCGAGTTTAACATGTGGTTGAATTGTATATTGGCATATCAAATTCTATTATTTTCTGGCTTTATCCAGGAGGAGAGAGACAAGAAACGCAAAAACAATGACGAAGAGAGAAGGTTGATTGATTTTATCTATGTAGCTATGGCATCTTTTTTTTCCCCCTATTGTCTTTATAGTTGTTTAGGATTGAAACTTTATTCTGATTTAGGTCGATTGAGCGGAGAAGTAGCGACCGTGGCAGGGAATCAAGAGATTGTGAAAGAGGAGATAGCCGTGAACGTGGAAGGGACTATGATGATCGTAGGAGTCATCGTGATCGGCATTATGACCGTGAGCGAGAGCGCGAAAGAGAGAGAGATCACCGTTCTCGCAGCTCTGACACAAGGAGTCGCATGAGATCCCGCTCCCGGTCCAGAGAACGCTCGAGAGATTATGATCGCCACAGGTGTGTACCTAATTCTGTCAAATCTGCTGCCTGACCTTATTATGACGCTAAACTATTTATGTAGACTGTGAACCATCTTTAATTAAAAACAGTGTCATTTAACGATTTTGTTAAATATGAAGCATTTAGGGTGATTGGATATGGATTTTTTCCCAAAAAAAAAAAAAAAAAAAAAAAAAATCATTTTTAACTCAATCATTTTTTCTAACTCAACTTTAACTCAACCCAACTATCCTTAATACTATCAGTATAACTAAATAATACTAATCAATTCTTACAAATCACACCAACTTTAATTTAACATTCATCGGCCTACATAATGTTAACTAACCACCACTTCACATCATCTCTCTTATTTTTTCATCAAATCAACTTTAGTTATTTTATTTTAAATTTTATTTTAATCTCATTAACTACTAACCATACCACATTTTTGTTCCAATCTCTTCCTTTTGTTTTGAGCCCTTTTTGCGTTTCTCTTACAATTGGTTCTCTTGGGTTTCATATCTTGCCTACCCCAACTTGTTTGGGACAAAAATACTATGTTGTTGTTGTTGTTGTAACTATGGTTAACTTAGGCGCCTCAAGGCTAGAGCCAATGGTTGAAGCATGCTTTTTTTCTTTCTCGATTTTTTCTTGTGATTTCTACTATTAATACTACATGAAATGGAATGCGGAAGGCTAGATCCAATGGTTGAAGCATGCTTTTTTTCTTTCTTTTTCGATTTTTTCTTGTGATCTCTATTATTAATACTACATGAAATGGAATGCAGCTCGTGCTGCTTTAGTTTCGTAGACATCCATTACTCTTCCTTGCTCTCCTTTTCTATTTACTTTTAGACAAGTGATTTTTGTCTGTTTATGATAATGGTAAATCAGTTTTTGTAGAATGGCTTTGGGGCCTGTAATTAGCTCTCGTGCACCTGCGTGCCTTCTGTATGATGTATATGTTCCTTACTGATTGATGTCAACTTAACATGGGTCCAGTGGCATCTTTCTTTAATTCACTGTTTTAATAATAGTTAGATTCACTCATAAAAGGTGGCAATCTTGCAAAGTCACCAAGCTTTGATTGGTGTCTAATGTTTTCTTTATCTCCCACTCCCCAATTTTGGCAGGCGTTATGATCGTTATTAGTGGTTACCTGGACAGTGTCATCTTGGGAAGAATCTGAGTTTTTGTAACTTCTATTACAGACTTTGTGTTGGCTGTAGGAATTTCTTTTTTAAAGGAATGTGGAGTTTTACACAATGTTCGGTTTGGTAGTGTGCTCGGATGTTGTTTTCTCGATGAGATTGATTCATAAAGCTTCATGCGATGTTAATGTACGAGCCTCAACATTTATTTTAATGCTCGTGTAAACCATGGAAATCAGGTAGCTCAAAAATGTTCGACCTCTAAAGATAGGGTAACAGGCGAATGGAACAATTTACTGTGAGAACAATGTATGTTGTTTAACTCTACAAATAATGGTATTATGGTATTTTGATTTTTAGCCACCAACTGTTTTTGATATCTAAAAGTAAATGTATTAGGGGTACTTTGATATGCTTATACAATTTAATACCACCAGTGTTGAAATTTTAGTACGACTTCTATTGATGATAGAGTTGACCGAACTGGCCCAGAGGAGTCTAAGAGCATCTCCAATAGTATATAGTCTATTCAGAGATATATAACATGGAGAAAGAGAACTACAAATTTTGTCTCTAATAGTGAATGTCAATTTTAGTGTAATTTGACATGTGTAACATTATAATTGGTTGAGGATGATATATATATTTAATAAATAATAAAAAATTTAATAGAGGATGTCTAGAAGTACTTCTAGACATAGAAAGACTTCTAGACGTTTTGAATGCCACATAAAATCAATTGTGCCACATGGCAATAAAAAGGAGCAATACATGACCATTGGAGATGCTCTAAACCAAAGTATATATGGGTGGATATTTAAAAATAG